ACCCTCCCCTCCTTAAACTCAATCGAACAAAAGGATAATCGTTAGTAATAATAATAATAATAATAATCAAAATGGATATAAATTTTTATATTGAAAATATATATTTTAAACAAGGATATAAACTTGTTTCTTAATTAATTAAATCCTTTCTCATCCTTTTTTTATCCTTTTTCATCCTTTTTCATCCTTCCTATCAATGAGCACCAAATTTATTTTATCCATAAAAAAATTTTGAGCTTTTCCAATTAGTTTAATGTGATGACAAAGGAAGCCATTAAAATAAAACAAATCAAATGAAAATAAAATAATAATAATAATAATAAACCTATTCTCATATATAATAGTATCAGTATATTAATATAAAAGTCTAATAACAACCTGAAATAATAATAATAATGAAATAAAAGAAAATAATATTTAATATATATATTGTACAGATTTTGACAGTTGTTAGAAGAAGAAGAAGAAGAGAAAGAGGGAAGATACATTTTTTTTTTTTAAAATGGCAGGATATTTATTTATTTATTACAATTAACATTTAATTAATAATAATAATAAATCTTTTTTCTTTTTTTTTTACCACATCATCTATCCTTTTCCTTTTTTCCTTTTTTCCTTTCCTTTTACAAAAAAAAAAAACTTATTTAAAAATAAACCAAAATATCATAATAATAATTTTATCATCTTTCCATATTAATAACTAACTACTTCTCTATTAATATATTTATATATATATATAATCTTTCACTCTTAATAATAATAATAATAATAATAAAATTATTGTTTTTTTTTATTTATTTTTAATTATAATGATGATAATAATAATAATAATAATGATTAAAAACGATGACGGAAAAAAAAATAAAAAAAAAAAAAAAAAAAAAAAAAAAAATCATCAACGTAATATTTGTACTGAGAAAATAGAAAGATAATAATGATAATAATAATAATTATTATTATTATTATAAATGCAAAAAAGAAAAAGAGAAAAAAAAAGAAAAATACTGTCGTACGAAAAACCTTTTCCAGATAAATTAAATAATAATAATAATAATAATAATTGTCGTAATAGGAAAAATTTAAAATAATAATAATAATGATAATTGATAAATGATAATAATGATTATGATGATGATGATGATGATGAGTAATTTAATTAAATGTCCGATTAAGATTTGCTCAATAATTTGAAGAAAAAAATTTTTTTTTTTTTCCCATCCAATTCTCTGGCACCATCCGAGTAGTAATAATAATAATAATGATAATGATAATAATAAATCATTCGGTTTAAATTTATTGTACGACATTATTACCGAAAAGAACTAAAAAAATTTTCTGTACCTGAGAAAAAAAAAAAAAAAACTCGCAAATGGAAGAGAAAAAAAAACTTTTCGTCATTTTTTTCCCATCCTAAAACTTTCCACAGTTTTCCTATAAAAAAAAAAAAAAAAAAAAACGAACCGAATAATAATAATAATAATAATAGTAAGCCACCCAAAACCCATCATCATTATTTTATTTATTTTTTTTTTTTTTTATAATTTTTTTCTTAAATTATTTTGATTTAGTTTTTATTTTTTATTTAATTTTAATTTTTTTTAAATTTTTTTTAATTTTATTTTTTTATTATTATTATTATTTCTTTTTCCGGTTTGTATTTGTTTAAAAAAATCGAATGATAATAATATACCTACACAAAGTGATAACTAACAAAAAAAAAAAAAAAAAAAAAAAAAAGCACAAAAAACTTTTTATATGAATATGCGAATGAAAAACCCAATTTAACCCAATTTTTTACCTTTTTTTTTTTTTTTTTTTTTTTTTTTTTTTGGAATGGGAGTGACTTTTTTATTTATTAATGTACCTGAAATTTTATTTATTATTATTATTATTATTATTTTGTATTATTTAAATAATAAAAAAAAAAAAAAAAATTAAACATTTTTTTTAAATTGTGTGCTTTTTTTTTTTGTTTTTATTTTTGTTCATTTTTGTTCTTTTTTTTTTTTTTTTTTGGTTTTTTCTTATTATTATTATTATTATTATTATTATTTTCTTTTTTCTTTTTTGCCGTTTTATTTTTTTATTTTTTTTTCTTTTCTTTTCTTGTTTTTATTCATGATTTTAATAAAAATGATTTTCTTTGACTCGTCCTCCATCTCCCTCGGACACGAAACGTTTTCTTCCACGTGACGGAACTCGTTTAATTATGTTGTCGGTGAGAAAATTGGCTTTTTGACAACGTTCGACAAACCTTTCGAGTATGCAATAAGCTAAAGGAACGTCAAGGCATATATCTGGCATATCTTCGAAAACTCTATAAAATCCCTGGAGGAAAGAAAAAATGAAATAATAATAATAATAATAATAATAATCAAGATGATGACGATGATGACGATTTCGCAATACCTTTTCCAGCATGACGGGAGTTATTATTCGGGCGTTACAAAGACTTTTCAACAATTTACACATCATTTCCTCCGTGTGACCGCTAATGGCTTCTATCGTCATCAAAATGGCCTCGTACACGAGTTCGTGATAAAAATAAGGAACATCTAAATCGAGAAGACACCTTGTCGCCTCTTCCAAATCCCGCGAGAGAAGGTATTCTTTAAGCAAAAGATTCATTTGCCTTATGAGGTATTTGACGGGGCGGAGCCCTCCTCCTCCCACGCCCCAAACGTTATCGAGTCGGACTAGACCGTGTTTTAATAAGGTTTCCGCTCTCGACAAAGCGGCACTGAAACCAACAACAACAACAACAGCAAAAATTAATTTTTCATCTGCCTCTGCCCCCCTCCCTCTCCCTCCCCCCGATTGATTGATTTATTGATTGATTGTTTACTTACTTGGCATGTTCATCATCGATTTTTTCCTTGTATGTGGTTATTATTTTTGGCGGAAGACAATCGTCCGCTATGGCACGAGCGAGAAAATTACCCAAAAATTTCGGAGCTTCCGGAGTGTCCAAAATCAATTCGGAAAGATTTCTTAAAAGTACATCAAAACCTGAAAAGAAAAAAAAAAGAGAGAAAAAAAAAAAATCATTATTATACATATATACATCCATGTCGGTTCAAATTTCAAAGGAAAAAAAAAAAGGAAAAAAGGAAACCGTACCTTTGGCCAAGTCCCTGTACGAAAGGACAATGTCATAGAGATCAGATAAAAGAACGGATATCATTTCCTTGTGACTCGGTTTGTGTTCCATAGCTATTTCAATGGCTATTTGTACGATCATGAATCTTTTTGTACCCGTGTTCAATTCGTAAAATCCCAACGTGGCCTCACGAGTGTCTCCATGTTCGAAATATTCAAATATTATCGATTCCGTTCCCTTTCGTAATTCTTCTTCGCTTACTTCCGGTATTATTTTTTTCAATTCTATATCTCCGTTGTCCAATGAATCGCTGTCGTAATTCGGATCGTTCATGTCTACGATTTCTTCTTCGAGTTCCGATCCCAATTTACCCCACACGCCTTTACCTCCTGCTCCACCTGTCAATAAAAAAAAAAAAAAATAAATAATTTTCCCTTTTATTTTCCGACGGTTAACATCATCGAGACGTCGCCATTTTTCCCCGAGTCGAAAATGGCGTCGCGCGATTCGAGAATTCCATCCGATGAATTGAGGAAAAAAAAAAAAAAAAAAAAATTATATCAATACGTAATTTCAAGATCAAGGATAAATGACTAATGAGCGTAATAATAATAATAATAATAATAATAATAATAATAATAATAATAATAATAATAATAATAATAATAATTTACGAAAATCGCCAAAAAAAAACAAACTACGACGCACTCAATCGATCGATCGATCGATCGAACGACGATCGATTTATTCGATTTTCTTAATCTCACGCACGTATTTACGCATTTAAAAAAAATTTCGAGTGAGAGAGAGAGAGAGAGAGAAAAGGTCACCCGTTTTTTCGTAAAAAAAAATAATAAAATAATAAAAATAAAAAACAAGGCAAAATTTTCCGACCTACATTATAAAATTTGACAAGGTGACCTCACACACACAAAGCTCCAATGTCAGGTGGGGAACCATCCAAATTATTATCATCATCATCATTATTATTAATATTATTTTTTTGCGTCTGTAAATAAACACACAAACATTTCGTAAGTGCGTAGAACACAAAAAAAATAAAAACAAAAACACTAAATAAAAAAACAGACCTTGAAATTAATTTTATCAATAACTGGAACCGGCTTTGCAAAAAAACAAGATTTTTCTTTTTTTTTCGTTTCGCATTTCGCATTTCGCATTTACTCACTTTCCCGCCTCTCGCCTCCTCTCCTCCCTGACCCACCCCCTACCCTCCCGCCCCCCCCAAAAAATAAAATACTAACAATAATAATAAAAATAGAAAATCTTTTCTTTTCTTTTCGTTCTGAACTTTTAACATATTTTTCATCTTAAATTTTACTTTATTGACAGGGTCATTATAACAAACAAACAAACAAACAACAACAACACTTATCGTTTTTATCAAAAAAAAAAAAAAAATTTTTTTTAACGTTCAATTTTTTTTTTTTTAATTACGCAACCAATAAAAACAAAATTATCGACATTTTTTTCCGTCTAAAAAAAAATGATAATAATGATGATAATAATAACAAATGCATACACACACAAAACATTTTCTTTTTTTTTTTTTTTTTTTTTGGGGGGGGGGAAGGGGTATACCTCTCTCCTTATTTTCTATCCTTATTAAAAAAACAAAATTTTGAAATTTCATTATTTATAACTTAAATAATGACCGACCAAATAAAGAATAAAATCATCATTTTTTTAATACGTATCGAACAAACAAACCAGCAAACAAACAAACGAAAATTGTTTTTGCCCTAAAGAAATTTTTAAAATTCTCGCGAGTACTACTCATTTATCGTAAATAAAACGAAACAAAAATTTTCTTTTTCTTTTTCTTTTCGCCGAGGGTTTTTTTTCTGGGGGGCCTTTTTAGAAAGTTTTTTTTTTTAAAATAAATCATTCTTCGGCCTATTGTTAACGAGTAAAAGAGAGAGAGAGAGAAAGAAAATCCAACGCAAAAAGAAAATTAATTAATGACGTGACAAAACAATTTAACGTGGCGTTTAAACACGCTGCGCAAAAAAAAAATTCGTTTGATTATTATTATCATTCTTTTTTTTTTTTTCCTCGTTTTAATTAACGCGCAATAAACAACACGCAGTAACAACAACAACAACAACAACCAAACAACAAAAATTTGGGAAAAAAAAAATAAATAAATAAATTCAAGGATTACAAGAAGTAATTTCAGAGAGTGAGAGAGAGAGTCTGTTAACCGACCTTGTCGTGACATTAACAATGAGAAATCGAATTATAACGTTTAATTTCAAATTAATCAATCAATCAATTAATTAATTAATTAATTAATCAACAATTATTACCTATATAATTACGTGGGAGAGTAAGAGAGAGAGAAAAGAAAAAAAAAAGAAAAAACAAATAAACAAACAAACAAACAAACAAATCCGACGTTATTTTACGCGTTTTCCTGTTTGTTTGTTTTTTTCTAAAAGTATATAACAATCGATAAATTTAAATATTATCATTATTATCATTATCATTATTATTATTAATATGCGGAGACGAATTTCCTAAAGGAAAAAAATTAATTATATAAATGATTAATTATTGATTAGGGGAAATTGACACGTCACATACGTACGAATCAATTCCGATCATTTATTATTTTAAAAAAAAACGAATTTTTCGGTTTAACACGTGCGTGTACGTGTTTAAGGTGTGCGTGTGCGTGTGCCGTGTAAAAACGCATTCAACCGAGTTCACCAAACCAGAAAAAAAAAAAAAAATGATTAAATACATATATATATAAATACATTGTTTTGACAATTTTTTCTTTTCTTTTTTTTTTTTTTAAATTTCTCAACGACATTTATTATTATTATTATTATTATTATTTTGTCGGGAGACTCTTTAAGTCGTTTCACACGCACGCACACACACACACGCACTCACATATACGCACACAATTTTCTTTAACTAAAAGTTATAATATATTTTACCGAATTTAAACGAAAAAACAAAATGGCGGCGGTTTACCTTCCCGTAAACGTAAACAACAACGTTTTTCTTTTTAATTTTAAAATATAATAATAATAATAATATTTAATGTAAATTTATTAAAAAGAGAGAAAGAGAGAGAGAGAGAGAAGTTTGCGTACGTAAAGAGTTTAATGACATTTAAACATGAAATTCGTGAAATATATATACAAGTCGTCTCTCTTTTAGAAAAGAAAGAAAGAAAAAGAAAAAACTTTTCCTTCGGAAAGGAAAACCTTTTGAAAACAAACTTTTTTCCTTTTCTTTCTTTTTAACTCCATGTTTTACATATACTCTTAATGACCGAAAAGAAAAAAAAACTTTCGAATTAAATATGATTAATATGTGATTGCATAAGTTTTTCTCCTTTTTTTTAAATAAAAATTTTACTTAATTTTTCCCAAATGATTTTTTTTTTTTTTTCAACGTGTCCTATAATTTACCTACATTAAATTCGTTCTCTCTCTCTCTCTCTCTCGTTCACCCAATGAAATATATTTTTTTCACATTCCTCCTACCCCCCCTTTCAAAAAAAAAAAAAAAAAAAAGAGAAAGAGAGTATGACGTCACACAAATTCGACAACAAACATTTTCAAACGGTTGAAGAGAGAGAGAGAGAGGGAAAAATAAGAAAATCTCACGAAATATTCGGTATCGATTGCAACTCTTCTAACCAAAAAAAAAACCTTCGAAAAAATATCATTAATAATAATAATAATAATAATAATGACAGTTTGTTTCAATTATTCAAAATGCGTGAATTACAATGTAACAAAAAAAAAAAAAAAAAAAAAAACATTCACCAGATGAACAAACAAACATTGGCGGCGCGTCCTATTTATCAACAATATTAAATTTTCTTTTTTTTAAACCACAAATTCCCTCTCTTTTACTTCTTCTTCTTCGTTTCAACAACAACAACAACAAACAAAAACAATCAACAAAAAAAATTAAAATCCTTTCGAATGAAAACAACCATGGCCTAATAAAATATCTTTTATATTGCTGAAATACATTCGAGTATATAATAAATGGGAAAAACCTCTCTCGACCTCCTCCCTCCCCCCTTTTTCCTACAGACAGCATTTACGCCACAAAATATTGACTCCCCCCAAAAAAAAAAAAAAAATTCGCAAAAAAACACGTTAATAAATAAATAACTATAAATTATTGTTTTGATCGTCGTCGTCGTCGTTGTTGTTGTTTACATTATTTATTTATTTTTTTTTTTTGCGCATTAATAAATTTTTTCGCCCTTGAAATAATTTGAAATTTCTATTTATATCGATAATCGTTTTCCCTTGATTTTTAAACTCGGCCGAAACAAACACACATTTTCAATAAACAACAACAACAACAACATTTGATATTGATAACCGTGGAAAACTTTTAATGTGGAAATAATTAAATTGAAATGAAACAAAAAAACAGACGGGCAAACAAACGAACAAACGAACGAGAAAAAAATCATCATTTTAATCAAGAAAATTTACGTAATTTGTTGTTGTTGTTGTTTAAAAAAAAAAGAACAACCGAATTATTCGTTAATTTTAATAAAAAAAGTCCGGCATTTTTTTTTTTTTAATGGCTCCATATTATGAGTGAGAAGGACTAAGAGAATTTGTGAAAAATAAATAATATTTAATTACTTTCATTTTTTTCCTTTCTTTTTTTGTAAATGAAAAATTTAAATTTGTAATTTATTTATTGTTTGTTTTCAAATGAATCAATCAATCAATCATTCTGTTAGACTTTTAAAAAATATCATTTCAAAAAAAAAAAAAAAATTCAAATTAAATTTCGAATGCCTGAAACTGGAAATGTGAGGAGGTCAACGTACTTTATAATGCAACAGAATTTTTTTTATTCAGAATTTAATTTCTCAATTCAACAACAAACAACAAACAACAAATTAAAATATTCGTAACGAATTAACAAATTAAAAAAATGGAAATTATATCACCTGTCATATGTTTTCTCGGACGTTCAGAATTTTAAGAAAAGAAATGAAAAAAGAAAATTCCAAATTTCGATTCGTGTTTGTTTTCCATTTAGAGCCGAGCCACATTTAAAAAAACAACGAAAA